AGATAGGCGGGTCAGAAATCCTTTAGATCGAACAGGTTTTATTAGGCAGAGTACTTCAATTTGCTAATACGTAGTAAACAATATCTTCTACATAGATAAGTACCGAAATGATGAACCATGTAGCTAAACAATCTATACTACATAGATAAGTACCGATAAGATTAAATAATGTAGCTAAACAATCTCTACTACATAAATAAGTACCGAAAAGATGAACCATGTAGCTAACACAATCTCTAATTCATAGATAAGTACCGAAAAGCTAAACAATGTAACTACTCAAGTTCTACATGCTCCGACTCACCCTTGTCCTGTCTGCTCTGCTGATGTCCACCAAGAGTGAAAACAACCTTCTTTCCTCCTGGTACAACAATGACCAAGAACCAACAGTTTCCATATGGCGAATATGAGACCACTGAAAACTAAATGGAGGCATCGGTGTAACACCTCCGACATCTGCAAGTTGAAGTCGGACCCAATGTACTCCAGTATGAACGAGGGCATAAACATTAACTGGAGATGTTGTCCCTGGTGGCGCTGTCACGGATAATGCACTATAGCCATATGTCCCATCAATTGCTCTCCCGAAGACTGAAAAGGCACAATTGAACATTGTCGCGAATGCTAGTATATCCACCTCCTCAAACCAGTACTCGTTGCCACACCATCCTGACTTCTTTTGATCCAACCTTCAAATTACTTCCTCTAGTGTCCCATCGTAATGTCTGCTGTATATAGAATCACATCGGCTAGTAATCTCTCCAATAACAGCTTGCCTCATCTCTAAGTAGTAACCCTCGTCCCCATGAATCATGTGTGAGATTGCTCGAAACCCACAATGACCATCCCCATCGGGGTCAAACCAAGCTCTAACAAGATGGTGTATGCTAGATGGGATGTACTGGAGGTATGGACACATATTCCTCTCACTATGGAATTGCCACAATTGACTCTTTCGTGCATTACCTATGAAATCAACCAAGTGGAACAATATTTTGTCAAAAAAAAAACCAAGTGGAACAATATGGAAACTCTTATAAAAAAAACAAACACACAAACAAACAAAAAAATAATACAATCAAAATCATCTTAGTGACTAACCTGTATGTTTGGACCTCGTCGGGGGAGTGGGATCCGACATCGGGGGAGTGGGATCCCTCATCGGGGGGCTTGTCCTCGTGGTATTACTTCTGCGTGCCTCTCGTGATCTCTCGTGCTCAACCCAAGAACGTTTTCGGGCGTTCTCCCTCCTAGGTGGTCGACCCCTCGGAATCTCTGCATCCCTAGGCTCAAGAAGACCCATGTCCTCGGGGAGAACATGAGCTCGAAGTGATGGAATAGCTGCTCGAATTAAATTTGGCCCTCTACAACGTACCTTTTCCACCATCTGGTCGAAAATATCGCTTTCAATGGCATCATGGTCCTCCCACTGTGCACGATCAGGTGGATCATGGTAGTTTAAAGAAGACCAGAAACGATGTAAGTGGTGCGGATACAATTCTAAACCGTTGTTACTGAATCTCTGCATTGTGCATAAACATGGAAGTCCATATGTCTCTGGTAGCACGCAACCGCACCTCTCAACATTCTTCCTACTTCCTTCTCCCCTCAATAACTCAATCGCCCATGAACTGACCTTGTTGTTCAAGTGCACGAAAGGCGGTCCATATGCCCATGTAAATACCTATTGGAATGAACACACAATCTAAATAAGAGAAATCGTATGCAAATTAAAATCACAATTCAATTAAAGTGAATTTACCTTCAATCGCGATTCCTCTAGGTCCTTTCGCAATTCAATCACTCTACCTTCGACACAAGCATGGAATCTCATGAAGAGTGAATCAATCTTGTGCCTAGAAGTGTTAATCCATGACTTCAAAGAGGAGTGAGATGATTCCACCCTATTTGTGCTCATGTTGCCAATATGAAACACACGGTTGGTGTAGCAATGAGCCCACTTTCTCGCACAAGATAACCACTCGCCTCTCAAGTAGTCCATCAACCGTCCATTGTCCCCCCAACGACTGTTTTGTAAGTCCACCCAAGCACTATCAAATCCTTCTTGGGTATTGACATACAACAATGTTCCCCAAGGACCTTCAACAAAACCCTCTGCGACTTCTCTACTCATTCGAAAGCTCATAAGTTTGGCTTCAATGTTGTTCTTCATATGCCATACACATAATAAGTGAGTAGATTCCGGAAAGATCTCGCGCACAGCAACACCCAATCCTCCTTCCTTATTTGTGACAATAGCATTTGGGATCCTACCACCAAGCACACTCTTTAGCCTCGACAAAACCCAAGTATACGTCTCCTTTTTTTCATCTTCCACAAATGCAAACCCAATGTTAAAGTTCTTCTGCACCGGAGTAACACCAACCAACTGAACCAATGGCTTCTTATGCTTATGGTTTTGTATGTCGAGTCTATCAGAACAACGAAATACCAAGCTCTCAACATTTGAATAGACTCCGGGTGGCAAAGGAAGAGATTAGTGACATGATGATCAATATCAAATTCACACTCAACGAAATACCCGAGCTTTTGAGCTTCCTTCAATGTCCATTGCATGGGTTTCATGCCACCCAATCTCTGTAGCCGAACCTTGCTAGTTTCATTGTAAATTTGTTTCATGTTGTGGTGAGCAGCATACTTGTCATTAAGAGACTTCCTCATTCGTTTTGGTTGAGTCATCGCTGCCTCCATTTCCTTGATGTCTTCCTTCTTCTCCTTCGTGAGAGTATTTCTTTGGCTGCTCCCTTCAGAATAAAGCTCAAGTTTGTGATTATGAAAACCCCTCACACCAGCAATTCTCCATTTCAAAGAACCATCCCCAACTATTGCACGTACTGCAACTCTGAATCGGCAACCCAACTTGCCCGTCTTTGTATTATTCCGCCTTGGCTTATCAGGATCTGGGATATATGTTATGCTCCTGCAACCATGGTTGCAATCCATATATATCCGTGGATATTTTTCTCCTCTATTTTTCTTGATTGTCGACACTATCAAGAAAAAACCGAGAGATTTTGCTATCTCCTTTGCTGCTTCCCGAGCTTTGTCCTCAGTATCATAAAAACCTGCACTTATGAAGAATTGGGTGTAATCAACTTTGTCACCTTCGTCATCTCGAGAACCTCCCAACAAAAAAATATACGAAAATATTCAAACCAATCCACCAGAAGTCAATACAATTTTATTTATTTATTATAAAATTTATTTAAATAAGTACTTACCGTATTACTCATACCAAACTTCTTATTATATCAACGATGTTGTCAATTGTGTAGCAAACTTCAAAAAAGTTGTCTCCCTAATATACAATAATATTAGTACAAATTAGATAAAATTTAATCCAACAATTAAATAAATTATGTCCGGGACATGTGATGCGATAAAATGTATATGTCGATTATCGACTGAGTAAGAAAAGTAAGTAATATTATCGTTGCACAAGGATTGGTACAACTTCATATTTGACGATTATATCAAGCAAGTGAAAGAACAAAAGTGCTTTTTAGTAAACGAAAGACAATATAATAACTAAACTAGAAAACAAGTAGAAAAATCAACAAAGAGAAGCTCTCGGAAAAAAGGGCATGAAATTCACTACCTAATTACCTTATTCAATTCGTTTACATGAGAAGGACAAATAATTCGAATCAAATCATAGAAATTCGATAGCTACATCCTACTGTCTTCCCCAAAAACTAAGGTTTAGTTCATAATCATGGAAAACAAAGTAACGAATAATTCTAGGTTCAACATCTTAGAATTCAAACAAAAGAAGAAAATTTACGAATAAAGTAACGCGTTTCTCTGACCTTAATTCCTGATGATTGTCTGGAAATTAATCCCAAAATCGCAGTCGAAGAAAGAACAGTTGTCGCCCAAAACTCTCTCCTTCTCCAACTCCTCTCGTGTCCTACTCCTATTGCTTGTCCAATTAAATCCCTAGTTGTGTCATAGTCTCCCAGATGAAAAGAGACTTTATAAATTGTGGACCAAATAAGTACAGAGCTGCTTCCATGTACCTAGCTGAAAAGGACAGTAGCCCGGCCGAATGTTACGTTGCAATTATTATTGGTTTTTATTATTTCCGGTAATTAGGCTTGGCAACGGGGCGGATCGGGGCCGGGTAGCCTGGATCCGTTGCCCGCCCACCATGGGCCTCGGGTTTCCCCGTTCCCGGCCCAAACGGACTTGCGGGCTTGGCTGGATAACCATCCCCATCCCCAATGGGTAATCGGGTGCCCGCGGGTCCATTATACCCGCTACAAACATTAAAAAAAAATTAAAAATGACAAAAAAAACTGGAAAACTGGACACTTTATTCATACTGACTGTCACTGATCTGTCAAAATGACTTGAAATAAACAACGAAAGCTTGCCAAGCTGCAATAGTGGCACTATGCCAGCAGCTCAGCAAGCAACAACACCAAAAACAACATTTGTTCCATGTTTGTGATAGAAATGATCAAATGAACCAATAACCAAAAACAACCGACTCTAAATTCTAAATGTCTAATTCTTTTGCCAAAAACAGTAGAAAGAAAAGCTGCAAGCAACAGAAGCGCAACAACATTCCATCCAGGATTCCAGGTTCCAGCAGCATCGAATCATTGAGGAATCATCCACCCGACCACCCCTGACCCTCATTCCAATCGATGTAAACCAGCAGACCAACAGACATCAATTGAAACTGTGTAAAGAACACACAAGAGGAATGAATCAGTTAGTAAAGACTAAATGCATAAAACTCATTCATCAACGACAACAAATAAAGAAGACATTTACCTTGGTCCCACAGTAGATTACCAATCAGTCTTCATGGGCAAATGGTGATCTCATTAAGGTGAGTTCTGGACCTGAAATAGAAACAATGCAAATGTAAGTATTCCTCAATGAAATAATACAAAGAACTAATAGAACACACTTTTGAAAAATGATCTATTGAGCTTACCACCAGGTTCTGCCTCTTCCACACTTGTATCTTCCACTGTCATTGCTGAGAAGAGTCCCTCCAATGCCTCTGCAGCAGCCTCTGAATCTGCACAAAACCAGTTGAATGAGTGGATACTATTGTTAAAACTTAAACCAATAAACTTGAGAGTTTTAGTTGCATGTTACCTCGTTGCATGTCCTCCATTATCCAACTCCTAGTACACATCATTGCCTCCACAGTCGAATAATGCAGCCTGCTCCGGTGAGGGTCTAACAACCTCCCACCAGAACTAAATGCACTCTCAGAAGGCACAGAAATAATAGGGATTGCCAGAAAGTCCCTTGCAATTGATTGCAAGGTCGGATACTTCAAACCATTCAATTTCCACCACAAGAGCAGATCAAACTCTGCTGTGCGAGGAATGATATCCTCAGCAAGATACATATCCAACTCAGTTGTAATCAAGGAAGTCTTACTCTTTTTCCTTTGACTTACAAAGAGTTCAAAGTCAAGTTCAGTGGCAGAAGCAGATCCAGAACAGAAGAAGAAGTTCCAGTTTGAGAACCAGATTTGTTCTCAGCTTTGGTTTGATAATCACGAATCAAACCACATATCATTTGCTTGATATTCTCAGCAACCAAATCAGTTTCTGTATTCCCAAACTTTCCAACATAGTATTCAATCACATGGAGTTTATATCTAGGATCCAAAACAACCGATACAGCAAGCACAAGATGGATATCATCCCAGTACTTATCAAACTTCAGTGACATTTGACTAGCCATTCCAAAAATCACAGGATTGGGATCAACACCCCACTCATTCAGTTTAAGTCTGAGATCACAAATCTTGGGGAAAAACAGATTGGCAGTCGGATATTTGGAACCAGAGAACAACTCAGTAATCTCAGAAAAGATTTCCAGCTTCCCAATCACAGTAGAAGCAAATTCCCATTGTTCACTAGAAGGAACTGATGTGTAATGATTGTCTCTCAAACTCAAACGAAAGAACACATCCTTGTAGGGAATAGCAACAGAGAGCATATGATAGGTGGAATTCCACCTAGTTGGACAATCAAGGACTAATTTTCTCTCAACAGACAGCTTAAGTTGCTTAGCAACTTCGAAGAAGGTTTGAACCCTCTTAGGTGTAGAATTCCAGTAAACTACACTCTCCCTAATCAGATTTATAGCATCCTTAATTGCATCCAAACCATCCCTTACAATCAAATTCAGAATATGAGCAGAACACCTCATATGAACCAATTTACCATCAAGCAACAAGTCACTGCTCAGAAGCTTATTTCTCATGTGGAAAATCATGGAATCATTGGTGGTACAGTTGTCCAATGTGATTGAGGACAACTTACCATCAATGTTCCAATCCAAAAGACAATCAAACAACCTATCAGCAAGCCTTTCACTAGTGTGAGGGGCTGGAACATACATAAATCTCATCATTATGTTACGGAGGTTCCAAGAGTTATCAATGAAGTGACCAGTTACTGCCATATAACCCCTTTTCTGATTTCTGGCTGTCCACAAATCAGTTGTAATTGAAACCCTCCCCAGGTTACCATCAATAATGGTCTGATATTTACCCGTTTCAACACCATACAAACTCAAAATGTCCTTTTTGACAGTGTTTCTACTAGGAACACTGAACTGAGGTTGAAGAGAACAGCAAAAACGTTTGAAACCCACATGATCAACAAGGCTAAGGGGGTACTCATGGACCAGAATCATTGAGCAAAGTTCCTTCCTAGATACCTCATAATTGTATTGAGAAGCAGAGAGTTGAGGATTTCCAGCAGGTTTATAGTTAGGCCCAAGTATTTTTTGAGAACCATCATGTATCCTCTTTTGGATACATGTTTTGATATGGGTTCTTAGGTGTGAAGTTCCATTACTTGTTTCCCCACCAAGGGATTTACGATAGTACTTACACCTAGCCTTCATAACCCCATTAACCCTAACTCGGTTAAAGTGAGGCCACACATCAGAGGTCAACTTACGTTGAGCTTCAAGCTCCTCAACATTACCAGGTTGTTCAGGTTGAGGTTGGACAGGTTGTTCAGGGACATTGACATTGGGAGCAAGGTCAACATTTATAGCAGTAGAAGTACCTTCCATCTGAACATAAAAAAAATTATGTATTACTACTTAAGCAGTTAAGCCTTAGTTATTACTTATTAACTTAGTTACATTCACATTTCAAAAATTTGCAAACAAACATCTTAAGCAGCAAAATCACGATTACAGTTTAATTATTTTTAATTATTAGCATTATGAATCCAGGATTCATAATCCTCTTATTGTCACAACAAGTCACAGCATTATGATTTATGAACAAACAGTCAAACACAGTGAGTTAAGGCTTAGGAGAGGAGGACGGGATTACCTTCTCGGATTGGAGTCTTATGTGGACTGTCGAGTACCCAATGACAGTAGACTGATCCTCCCTGCTCACTGACTCTGTTCCACTTCAGTTCTCGAAACCAGATCCAAAGTTCCAAACGACCGAGACCAACCTAGCACAAACAAGAGTGAACAACGAACCCAAAGCAAGTTAGAACTGCAATTTGATGCATGCATGTCTGTATTGACACCACTAACCCATAATTCATAAAAAGTATAGGCGAGATGAAGCAACTTACCCTCGATGACTGGACTCTGTCTGGAGGCTCGCCTAAATCCCTCGATCTAAGCTCTCTGTGGACTCGACTGGGGTGTTCTTGACTTCTTGTTCTCGATTTCAGAAGATGGCGTGGTGAGAAAAGACCTCTCCGCTCTGAATCCCCCCTATATATACCAGTACAAGAAGAGTTAGAATAGAGTTGGGGGAACGAGTAATCAGGGAATAAACTTGAAAGAAAAGATAAGAAACCCAGAATTAACTTATCTTTTCTGAGTTTTCTCGAAGAATCGGCGATTTGAACTTCGAACGACACGTTTTTGGACTGCGGCCGACGAAATCTTCGTCGGATGGTTGCTCTTCCAGCCATGCAATTGGTCGAATGGAGGAATTGATGAGGGGAAATGGCGAAAAATCGGCCAGATCGCGATTATCTAGCGATCTGATCGCGATTCGCTACAGAGGAGGCAGAGAGATTGAGAGAAAGAAGGAAACTAGGGTTTCAGTTTTTGGTGAAGAATGAAATCTGAGGCGGCAGCTAGGGTTTCTCAAGGGAAAACGATGAATATATATGCCCCTCCAAACGCCGTCGTTTTTTTTGCACGGGTAACCCGTCGGGCGGTTCGCGGGGCGGATACTGGACGAACCACAACCGCCCGAAACCCATGGTTGACGGGTCCCGGGTTACCCGCCACCCGTTGACGGGCCCGTAACCTCCACCGAACTGGGCCCTTATCGGTCGGGCTTCGGGCGGATACCCGCTTTTGGGCCCCCGCCTACCAAGCCTACCGGTAATAGTTTGTTTTGGGTTTAAATATTTAAAGTACAAATAAATGATTAAGGACATTAAAGTAAAATTAACTTAATTAGGGCGACGATTAAGGATTTTTAGGGCGACGAATAGCAATCCCCAATATTTAAGGATTGAGATACTAAAATTATTTAAAAATTGGGATTAACATTTATTTTAGCGTGTAATTGACTATTCGACATTTCAGTATTTGGTATTGAGATCTAGATACCGTACCAATTTCCACCCTCACCTTGAAACCTTGAACATTCCTCGCAATGTCCTAAATGCCCTTATGGCGTCTCTTTGTTCCTCCACTTGTTGGCTGGCTGTCCATGGAAAATTCGTGTCCCATCTGGGCATCTGGCCATATCCCATGAGAAATTCAACTTTCTTTCTCCAATTTTGGCTCTCGGTTTAGCTGGGTTAAACCTTAAATCAATTAAAAACTTCAAAAGTTGCGAAAGATCAAAGCTTTGTTGGAAGAGTCAAGAAGGGACGCAGCCACAGGGCAAAGAAGAATTGCGGGGCAGAAGCAAAGATGGCTATGCAAACTGCAGCCGTCTCTTCCAAAGTACTCATTCTTGTTGGCGCCGGCGCAGGTTTCTTCCTCAATTTTCGATTAGTTTTGTTTGGGTTTATCTGTTGTTTGATTCAGTTGGATTAATAGGTTGTTCGTCTCTTTTCTGAATGTTCAAATGGTTGGTGTACGTTTCAATTATTAGGTTTGACAAGTTCGATCATATTGAAGAACAGAAGATTATCTGAGGTGATTGCCCAGCTGCAGGAATTGCTCAAGGGTGTTCAAGATGCTGAAACGTCGTCGTATAGATACGATACTGCTGTCCTTGCAGCCCAGGTACTTTGGCCAATTTTGCTTCCAAGAATATTGGAGGGAGCTTCTTTTCTTCCGTAGTTTCTGTTGACCTGCTAGGTACTGGTTTTATTCACTTGAGCATTTGTGATGTAATTGCTTGCTTTTTATCTTCTCCCCGTGTTGGTGATGAAGTTAGGATAGGAATTAGTGAATCTTTTGTTATCAGTTGCACGACAGGACCAGGCTAATTGTTAGGATGATGCAATTTATAGAATTACCATCATCCTTAGGAAACTGAATTGGTAATCTTAGGACATTGAACAGGAAATGAGCTTGGTGTGTCATTTATCAGTAAGATAGTTGTTATCGATGATCTTTCATCTTTCTCGTGTACGTTTGCAATAGATTCGTCAGTTGGCTCAAGAGATAAAGGAGATATCCATGAACAATCCTGTAACCATCTTCAATGGGAATTCTGAAAGTGGTACATGTTCTGTTCTTTCTTGTTAAGGAGTTTTTGCAGTAGGCTTCAATTAGTACAAACCAAGCTTAATATGCTTTTCCCCCCCTTCTTTTTAACAGGAAGCTTGGCATCTTATGTTATGCCGGCTGCTGCACTAGGAGCGATGGGTTATTGTTACATGTTGTGGAAGGCATGTTTCTTACTGCCGAACAAAAAACCCCATTCTTTCGGACCCTGTTCTTCTTATAATTACACCCGCACGGTTTCATTATATGCTTGTAGCCAATTTAATCATGCAACCCTTTTTATTATTTTCTCTAAGAACAGGGGTGGTCATTGTCAGATGTAATGTTTGTGACGAAACACAATATGCAAAATGCTGTTGCATCTGTTTCTAAACAATTGGACCATCTATCTGATTCCCTTGCACTAAGTATGATGGGTTTGGTTTCATGAATCATATTCTTGTCAATTCTATATAAATCTGGTTATGTATTCGGCCAATTTCTGCAGAATACGAAGAAGCATCTAACCAAAAGGTTGGAAAACTTGGATTGGAAAATGGACGAGCAGATGGAGTCATCTAAGCAAATTGCTAGTAATGTAAGCACAATCCACGTGCATATGAACTGTTACGTCTATCATCTATGAACAAACTGGTGAACCTTTACCCATATTGTGAAACTCCTCTGAGTTGATTGCTTTTTCAAATCCTGTGCAGGTAGGTGAAATGAATTCTAACCTTTCAGAAATTGGATTCAATGTTGGGACAATTCATCAAATGATAGCTGGCCTGGTGAGTTCTTTGGTTGTTTCCCACGTAAATTTAATCTCCATCACCAGATTCCTTATCTAAATCTCCTTGTGCTCAACAGGAAGGAAAACTCGAGCTTCTGGAAAGCAAACAGGTTTTCCATGTCTTCCCCCTCCTTTTGCTATTTTGGTTTGTCGGTTTGTTCAAGTGTGCTTTTTGCAGCAGTTTCTGAACTTGATACAATCCATGTTACTGTAGGATGCAACAAACTCCGGTATTTTCTACTTATGCCAAGTTGCTCAAGGCATGAAAGATGGGTTTGGTAGAAAAGTATACAAGGTCAGATAATCCATCTAGCACCGTTACCAAACTTGGCAGCCAATCTTACTTCCATCAATCGATTGTATGTAAACTTGTTTCGGCCTTCGTACTCACATCAAACATTTCTGCAGGAACTTGGTGCCAAGGTTGCCAACCTTGTGCTGACCAACGGTGAAGAAATATCTCTCAAGGTATGTCAGAGTCGAACCTTGGTTCCCCCACCAAATGACTAAATGAGTAGGTTTTGCCCCCTTGTTGAGATTGTCCAATGACTCGGTTCAAAACATCTATATTCAGGGCCTCCAGTTTCTCGCCGAGGAGGACTCAATGGTCAGAGCCAGTAAGCCGATAGAAAAGGTAAAGACAGCTGATCCTGACATCACCAGCCTCCCAGGCGAAAAATTGACAAGCACAAGACCAAGATTCATTCACAGGACATACCCAGTTGGGCTGTCAGGTTTTGGCACTGGAGCTTGAGAAGCCACCATCTTCAAAAGATTGATCGTGTATAATTTTGTACACTTGAGTTTTCACATTGGTTCAGATTATCACATTTTGCATTCATCTGCTCCATTATTTCATTGGAAAGAAAGGATTCTATGGACGGTATGATGTATGATGGTATTGGAAGTTTGTAACACAGGAGAGGGAAAATAGCGAGGGCATATAGAAATAAGTCGGTACTTGGAACATGGAAGAGCGCCATCGATGAAACTTAGAGAACTAGTTCAAGAGTTTGTAATAGTTGTTGTATACTTGTGTGCATGGAAAAATCAGATTGAAGTTGCGGGTCCTTCATGATTTCCATATAGTAATTGTTTTCTTATGTTATTTTTCTTTTTCTTAGTAGAATGATCATTTTCCCTTGATGATGCAGTTTCAAGGAACTTGCTTGGCTAAGTCAGGTTGGAAAGTCGGCCAACCACCAATCCTGGGTTCTGCTAGCATGAGTTCAAATTACTCAATTGACTCATTTGATTTGATCAAAGACTAGTTTGTCAAAATGAATTCATTTACTTGCTTTATTTGTAAGAGATGCAGTTACTTATTTACAATATTGTCAGAACCGAACCGGAGTATGAGCCGATATGGTGAGCGGTTCGCATTTTACTGGTTTAACCGATATTAAATCGTTAAAAACCGTGAATGAGCCGATGCTTCACAAATAAAATATTGTACGTAAAACGCACATCATAACAGTTTACCCATAAAATACAAATCCCAAACATAGCTTTTACAATAATCAAAAAATTATTCAAATAAAATACATGTAGAAGAAACTGAAAAAGCCAAACTTAGCCTTAACAAAAGCCTAATTCTTTTAATCATTCATTGGAAAAGAGGAAAGTGAATTTAAATTGGGACAATTAATTAGGGTAAAGTGGATTCGTTGGCGAGAGGAAGGAAATTAGTGACTAGTGAGTGAATTGAATTGGGCAATTAAAGGGAATTTCTTTTTTTATTTTTATCGTTTTCCCACAGTTGTCTTTGATTGAGGCCGTAACTCTGCAGTAATGACGGCTCGATGCACCACTGGACACGAGAAGTACAAAAAAGGTAAGTTGATTATCGGCTAAATTACACGTTTGATCACTCGAATTATACAAATCTTTATTTTTCCCACCCAAATTACTTTTTTTTCTTATTCGCCACTAACTTTACGAATTGTTTCACTGTTAGTCAACAATCCTTTCATCACCTCTACTGATTGGTTTTAACAAAATAGAAAGCACCAAATTAAATTTAGAACCACAATAAGTCGGAAATGATGAAATTAAGTCACTGTTAAGGAGAAGAAACAGAGGAAGATAGAAACGGAGGAAGATGGGAAACCTTGATTGGTGATGAGCCTGTAGACGTGGCCAAGGGTGAGGGTGTCCGTCGATGGAGCAGCTTAATCCTCGTCAGCCACACGGAGCCGCCGACGGAGGTTGCCTTGGCGGTGGTGGAGGAAGCAGGAAGATAGAGTATGGCGGAGAGGAGGAAAGTGATATAGTGGTTGGGTTTACTCCCCATTCCTTTCATTCTCACTTTCTCGATCACCTTCTTTTCTATATACGAGAGTCAGAGTGGTGGCGTTGCTTCTTGTTTGCTGCTCGATCCATCCATGGCTTCCTCAAAGCTTCGGCCGTCCACAACTTCCTCAAATCCTCGAAGTCTCCTTGTACATCACTTTTCTAAACTTCTCCTTCCCAACTTAGCTGGAGTAATCCGGTCTTTCATCTCGAGCAGCACACGCCGTGGCTACACAGCTATTTTCCTGCCTCATGTCTGAATGTGAATTAATGTTCCATCAGGAGTTCGATTGGATTAAGGATAAGTGTTGCTGGGAGAAAGAAATGAAAGGAAGATGAAATAGTTTTTAATTTGAAAATTAATATTTTTTTAATTTTTAATTGCCATGTCATCAAACTAACGGTCAAAGGGTTTAGTTGACTGCCATATAGGATGATTTTAACGGAATTGGACGGCTGGTGACTAATTGTGAAACGATTCGTAAAGTTAGTGGCGAATAAGAAAGAAAAGTAATTTGAGTGGCAAAAGTGAAAGATTTGTATAATTCGAGTGACCAAACGTGTAATTTAGCCGTTGATTATCTATTATTTAATTAAACAGACCGGTCGGAAGGGGAAAAACAGAGCGCTCGGCTCGAACGGTTAACCGCCTCGGTCGCTTGCCGGCCGCTCCAGAAAGTCGTTACGGCTAAATGACTGATCCGAGCCGGTTTTGCAGTCGGGTGGCAGCTTTGACGGTCCGACCGGCTGGCTCGGATCGGTCTTAATAACATGGCTTATTTGAGTTATTTTATGTCGAATGACTAATTTGTCAACGAAAAGGTTATTTGCAAATGACTCAATTGAATGATTTGTAAATGATTGTTCTCGGTCATTTGCAAATGAATCATTTTTTTGTCTCTACTTTTCAATTTCAACTCTTTCATTTTTCTCGTATATCTAATACTACCTCTTCTATATTTTTTCTTCATAAACCCAATACTTTTCAATTATTTTCAAACAATACTTTCCATTGTTTTTATGAATCAGTTACGTTATACCATGATACCATAAAAAAAGGTATTGGCTACACCCCTAGCCAATTAGGGACCATCTATATGAGATATATACATAAACCTATATCAAAGGAAACAAAACTATCAGAACTTACCCCTAGAAGAGAGTTGCCAAAACTGCAACCTATGGGTGGGTAATGGGTGAGTTGGGTGGATTTTGATCTCAAATTGAGTCACCTTCTTACTAGCGAGTTGAAAAAATTGTAACCCGCAATCCACCCACATACTTCTGCGAGTTGGGTTGGGTGGGTGGCGGTTGGGTCGCGGATCAACCCGTAAAAGCAATTCTACAACTAGCCATTAAGAAAGTTGACTAACATTTATAATAAATTCATAGCAAATTAGTAAGACTGTATCAATAATTTGTGATTTTGATACAATCAATAATTTGTACTTTGCATCCCAATATTTAATGGATATTAATAATAATTTGCATACCAATATCCAATATCTATTGGGTAATGCATAACACAATAACCAATAATAGTAGTCAAAACTATTCTTTATTCTCCATCTTTTGAAGTATATGGTCAGACATTCAAACTGTAGTGCAGTTTGAAAATATGATGAATATTCGATACTATAAGAAACAACATTTTTTCATGTAAAAATAGGATGCTGGTCATACAAGTGACCCGCAATCCACCCACCCACGTAAGTGCGGGTGGGAGATTTATCAATCCGCAATCCACCCACATCAATCACCTATCTACGGATTAACCACCCACGTATCCACCCCTACTGCAACCTACCAAAAATGATCCATCGGTACCCCCAAAACATATTTAAGCTAAGCAAACAAGAGACATTCCTAATTGAGGAATTTTACAACGCTATATAGCATTGGTGCTACAACTTCAGATTGTACCTATACTCTTATGTACAAATTCTTTTATGGTACAAGTTGAACTTGTACCTTTATGTGATGGTACAAATTCAAGTTCTACCATAACATAAGAGTACAAATTACTTTATGGTACAACCTGAACTTATACATTTAACGTTATGGTACATCTTCAATTTGTACATTAAAACACCAATGCTTTATAACATAGTAGAAGTGCTCCTTCCTAATTGCTCCATCATAAATCCTTCTACACCTCTCTCCAAACATGGCTCAACATCGCACACCATATGACTCTTCCTGTATCAACTTTTGGAGACATGCCTTGAAACATCTTCTCTGCCCATCTTAGCTCGAGCTCCCAAGAACTCTCTAGTACAAGGGGGAAAGTTTTCCCAAGCAACCCAACAACAAGTTCTCTGTAAAAAGAACAGTATGCAAACAAATGGTCTATAGACTCCAGACCATGATCACAAAACACACAGTTCATAGGTCTAGTATATCCCCTCGTATGCATTTGATCCCTAGTTTGACTCTTTCGTTTTGCAATCAACCTTACAATGAATCTATTTTTGGGAATACCAATCCCTTTCCAAACCAAGTTAGCCCAACTCACTTTAGGAAGCTTAGTTATAAGAGAGTTCCAGGAAACCTTGAGTGAGAACCGAGCCATACAAGTACTATCCCACGGAAGATCCTCCCCTTGTGTAGAGAAATGTTGCTGGACCATAAGCCTGAGTTTTAGAAGTCTTCTCCAATTCCATGGCCCAGAAGACCTAGAGTATTGCCAAAGACTAGAACTCTTCAGCTTATAACGAGAAATCCATACCACCCATATGGAACCCTGCTGCGTAAGGATGGACCAGATGTGCCTAGTAGCACAAGCATAATTCCAAGTAATGATGTCTCGAAACCAAAAACCTTTTTCTTACTTAGGATAAGTAAGGTGAGACCATGCCAAAACATCCCTATGCCTCTGACCCACCCCTACACTCCAAAAAAAAGTCATTGAAGACTCTCTCCACTTCTCTGATGATAGAAACTCACTTTTCCTTTCATTAAAAACAGAAACCTTATAAACTTAGACTATCACTCCGGTATTCCTTAGAGATCAAGGAATAGAGGAATGCCGGCTTTGATACCAAAATGTAACATCGTGATCCTTTTAACCATAAATATAAAATTTTCACTCCGGAGCAGAGCAAAATTCCTTAGAACCAAACAAGGAAAAAAAACTGAATCATTCCTCAAAATTCAAATGTAAAGGCCTAAGCAGTTGGGCTACTTCAATACTCTCCACCCTTAACCTTAAAACTAGAAGGTCCTTAAGGATTTATTGATGGCTGCTTTGTGCTCGGATACAACGTCTACGGAAGTTCTTCAGGATCGCCAACGTACTCGTACGATATAGTTCCTCATTCGCCTCAAGTCCGAGTTCGAGTCAGTTTGGGCTAACCTTATGAAAAGAGAGAATCTGAAGATGGATGGCATTCTGGCCACCCTTGTCCGCGAAGAAACGCGAGTGGTGTAGGTTTGAGCGAGATGGAGTCATATGTATCTCTCGTGTGCAGCAGTCGGAGAACCAAACAAATAATTGGATCGATGGTGCTTAGGAGATATGGTTTCATCATAGCATCGGTCTGAGTCCACTTGGACAGGTCTTCTACAGACGACGTCGAAACGACTAGCTTCTTGGACGTGCCATCCAGAAACGAAAGAAGGCCTTTGTCTTCAATGAAGGTACGAAACTGGAACTCCCATAGTGCATAACTCTTGGAGTTTAATCGAACTGAAACCCTGTAAAAATTCATAGGCGATAGCTCTGCTACCATGTTAGCTAGTATCAAAACACTCTTAATAACGTATATGAAAACAAGGAAGAAAACGAGCACACAGTTTACATGGTTTCCCTGATATCGAGACTAGTCCACGAGAGAGCCAGAACACTCTGAGTTGATCATCTTATTATGTTTTCTTAGTTTGGTTTACATGGCTGGCTTTACATATATACTGTCGCAACCTTAGCTCTCTCAAGCTCCTGCTAGGGCTAGTTAACAACGACCTCCCATACTTACGTACATACTAATACAATAATGGGCCAAGAGTCCAATACCACTAACAGCCCACCCCTACGTTCAAAAGTACCAAACTTCTGTCGTCGGCCACGACCAGACGTCTAAAACATGCGTTGCCGGCTACAATCTAACATGCAGAACTTCAATCGTCGCCTACATCTGGATATATGAAAGACACGTTGCCGACTATTCTGGAAAAAATCTATCATATTTATTTGCCAACCTAAATAACGACTAGTTTAGGGCTGATTTTTTGTATATTCAACGAACAAATTATCTTTTATTAGATGAATTCAAATTGAAGCACAATCATGGTATGCAACTTTGAATTCTTTCTATATTGATAGTTTCCCCGTAATCAAACGTTATAACTTTCTTTGGAATCAAAATTGATATTTCCTCCATTCTATGAAATTTATAATAAATATATTTCCACTTGAATTCGACTTACCAACTAAAATGGGAGCATGAGCCATGGGGTGTTGGTGGACGACGACAGTGGCCGGCAACGCTGGCTGGTGGTGGTGGTGACATCTTGATGTGTTTGGAAGAGAGAGTTCGAGAAAACGAAACATTTTTACAATTCATGTAAATTTTAATCTTTTTATAGGAATACCACTGTTAAAAAAAAAATCCAAAAATAGCACCCATTCCCCAAAAATTACAAAAATAGCACCCTTTCTCGAAAATCGCAGGGTGGGGGCGCATTTTTTGACGAAAACCGCACGAGTAGGACAATTTTGCTGACCGCATGGGGGTCGGAGCGGTTTGGGTGCAAACCGCCCCCCCACCCTGCGGTTTGTAATAAAAATTTTTTTCCAAATAATTGCCAAAAGTGGTCTTGGTATAATTGGTTTAGTTGTTTCTTTGTGTGCAAGAGGTCCTTTATTTGAAACACCATCATCCCATATTAAATCCTTTTATTTTTTAGAGATTAAAAAAAGCAACATGTTGTGGGGGTGGTGGTTCGAATCCTCCTAATAAATCATTAACTAAATTTAATACAACATCTACACCATCAAACTACAACTCTTTTGTTGAAACAATTACATATTGACAAAGTTTTAGTCCTTGAACGCTAACATTTTTCAATAACTTTGAATGGCCATAACTTTGTGCTCCAAAGTCCGAATCTCATGAATTTTTTTTTCATTTCGCATAACTTTTGAAGGACTACAATTTTTACTGGGAAGAAATTTTCAAAACAAGAATTATTTTTGGATATACAGGGTTTGGGAATAACTTTACCTTCTCTTTTCACAAATCCACATACATTCTGAAATTATGTCTGATAAAAGTTGTAGTCCTTAAAATGTTATGTGAAATGAAAAAAAAATCATGACGTTCGGATTTTGGAGCACAAAGTTATGACCGTCCAAAGTAATGACGTTTGGGAAAAATTTCCTTCGGGGTAGCAAACGATATTTTTTTCGGGATGAAGGTGGGACGGGTTGCAAAATCTCAAAAAGTTATGCGAAATCAAAAAACCAATCGCGACGATCGGATACCTGAACACAAAGATACGTTCGTTTGAAGTTTCCACCTAGGTTAGGATTTTTCGAAAAAAAATTAGACCAAACCGCCCCAACCTCGAGCGGCTTTGAAAACCGCCCCATAACCATGCAGTTTTCATCGAAAATCGCACCCCGCCTAGCTGTTTTCGTGTAAACCGCGGGGTGGGGTGGCGGTTTTAGAGAAAGGGTGCTATTTTTGAAATTTTTCGGGTTGGGTGCTATTTTTGTAAAAAAAAATTAAATAGTGCTATTTCTGAAAAAAATACGCTTTTATGAGGGCTAGAAATAGTAATTCAATTTCCAAAAAATCAAAAGAAAAGAAATATATGTATATATTTATGTAAATCATTATAAAACGAATCGAGAACTGAATGAGACAAATCTAAAGTAATACTCATACTCCGTCCCACACTATTACGAGTTAGGTAATACCCACCCCAAACCGATTGATACAGGTCAAACGGCGCACATCCCTACTAATCAGACTACACGCACAACCTGCCCAATTCTTCAATGCATATCCAGTTACCTCACGACGGCCCAAGACAATGGGCCACGGTTAAATGGGCCAACCGACCCAAACTTCATTATCTCCAATCGGTTCGTATAATAAGGAATTTATGCGTAGGGCAGATGCTTTCTCTCCCTCTTTCGCGAATCGGGTTCGCTCGCTCTCTTCCTTTCCGTGAGACTGAGACGGTGAGAGCATTTTTCCCCCCACTGGTTGTGTAGTTGCTCTTCCCTTCTCCATCTCCAAGAAGCCAACAGCAAAGGTTTGTCATTTCAATCCCTTCTTTCGTTTTTCTGTACTCGTTAGCAGCAATATTCATTTTGTCAATCATCTTGCAATCGAGGTAAACGTTCCGATCTTTTCTCGTCCTCCGAGGTTTTTTCTCTCATCCTCTTTGTCGTTCGTCAATTTGCTAGTTAATATCGAATTCGAGTTGTTCTGACCGTTCCGATTTTTTTCATTGGCGTGCTTTGTTTTCTTATGGGTTGATGATTGGGTATGTTGGTGTATGATTTCTTCAGCTTCGAGTTGAGGTGTTCGAGAATTAGGGTTGACGCGTTTTTCCCCAAATTGATGAACTTGCTTGATTGGTTAGAAGTGAATTTCATTTCTAGGGATGATCCATTTTCTTGGAGTTCAGCCGTGTTGGCGGTTTCATTTCTCTGTTCTTGTGGTGATTGAATTATTAGGGTCAGTAATTTGATTTGGATGACTTGCGTTGCAGAACCAGAAACCATGCCGAAGAACAAGGGTAAGGGAGGAAAGAACAGGAAGAGAGGAAAGAACGAAGCTGATGATGAGAAGCGTGAGCTGATCTTCAAGGAAGATGGGCAGGAGTATGCCCAGGTGATGCGCATGCTCGGTAACGGGCGTTGTGAGGCCACGTGCATCGACGGAGTGAAGCGTCTCTGCCATATCCGTGGCAAGATGCACAAGAAGGTCTGGATTGCAGCTGGTGACATCATTCTAGTGGGTCTCCGAGACTATCAGGATGACAAGGCTGATGTTATCCTGAAGTACATGCCTGATGAGGCCAGGCTTCTCAAGGCGTATGGTGAGCTTCCAGAGAACACTCGTCTTAATGAGGGTATTGCTGGAGGTCTCGATGAGGAGGATGAAGGTGCTGGTGATGACTACATTGAGTTTGAAGACGAAGATATTGATAAGATCTAAAGAGCTTCTGGATTGTGTAATATACTCTTGTTATATTCAAGCTATAGCTCTGTAATCTTGTCTTCTTACTGGATCTAGAGAGATTATGGTATTGCCGAGTTTGTAGCTCTGCTATTTGCTCTTTGGGGTACTTTCCTCGACCGAGAGTCGTACTTCTGTCGTTCCTATTTTGAATCTATTTTGCGGTTACTGGGTTCATATCTTTGTGATGACCGAAGATCAGGCATTACAGAGTGGTGGTGCCTTTGAATTTTTCCATGGCTAGAAAGTAAAATCTCTAGTGTTTGGAAGGCAACTCTGCAAGATGCATTGAAAGTTTGGGTTCCAGCATATGCTTGCAGTTAAATTGGTGGAAGCTAGTAGCTTCATTATTGCTTATTCAATGATTTGATACTGAAACAATGGCTAAGATATCTAAGTTCATTTGATACATTGCTTTCAGTTCAGTTCACAAGGAAGTGCATATTGCCATAGCTGTAAGATGCTGAAGCATCTTTGCACTTGGTTTCTCTGTTGCTCTTTGATCTTTTCAGCTTCTGCCTTTTGTCGTGCTCTAAATTGGCACAACTCTTCTCGACTGTCTGTTTGAGAGCAAGAAACATATTGACGAAGAAAAGGTAAGTTTCAGACTGCAGTAAAAAAAAAGATACAACTGAGCTGTTCTCTTTTTGAAAGCCAGAGAACTTCACCTTTTGCTCTTTTGGAGGATATTGGTAGCTTGGTACTGTTTTCCTCCTGGAGATACTTCTTAGAGGCTTGGCTCCGTTTTTGGTTGTGATGATGAAAGAGCCATTTTCTAATCTCGCGTCGGCTTTTAAGCTCTTTGCAGGGACAGGTACTTCATTAGACCCACAGCTCTCCCTCTCTTCTACTGCTAAATCCAAACATTTGCTTTTTCCTTCTCTGTGGCTGTTGTTCTTTGATGGCTGTTCAAATTGCTTGTTTGAATGGCTCTCGAACGAGAATTCAGGAGCTCGGGTAGCCATCCACCGTTCAAGCCAATGCCAACTCATGCTAGGCTGCTGCTGCTGCGTACATTCGGACCTGGCTTGCTTGCTCCTTGAGCAGATCCGCAGCTTTAATGAAAAAAACATGGTATATTCAAATGATGCATCAAAGATACTAATTTTGGCTGTGAATGATCTTTCTTTTTTCTTATTAATGAAGCGAATATTATCTTGATACCTGTTGTGAGAAAGCATAAGCAAGTGCTCGTTCACGGCGGTTAGTGGCGTCCAGTCTGTTCTTAATCCTCATTCTTAACATGTTACTGCTAAGCGTGCTGTCATCCCAGTCTTCCTGTAGCTCGGTCGACCATTGTAATCGTACAATTAGTTGCGTAAGTTTGATTTGAACACAAATGAACTTTTTGTTTGTTTTGAGTATTGTGAATTGGTTATCACCTTGGACCTGAAATCTTGGCATCTGCTGGCTTTCTTCTGTGCGTTGCGTTGTTCACCATTGTTTTCTGCTATGGAGAGATGATCTGCAGAGTTACCAGTCTGAACCTCGACGGATGTGCTCACGGAGTACCTGCCAGGACTTCCACTTCCCATTTCTTGGTGCTGCTCCTGCTTATCACCATCCTTGGCTTTTGCTTCTTCCTCATCCTGACGTCTAGCCTGAATTTTTTTGCGAGCACCCACACAAAAGGGAATAAGCAGAACTTCTTTGATTGTTTCAGTCTCATTTTAGAAGTCTGAAGAAGTAAAACTAACCATCAGCTTTCTGAATGCAGTCTGGATGATGATCGCTGCATCCTCCTGAAGGAACAAGCTAGACTGCGTAGTATTGTGCTCCTTTTCCTTCACTGCATCTCCCTCCTCGATCATCATTGCATTGGTCTCCACAGAATCATCAGCCGGAGCGAATTGTGAGACAGGCTCCGAGCTCTTCACAGAAGCAGAATCCTCCTCAGCTTGGACCGAGTTGAACTCATCCCCACAAAGGTATGATCTCACCACACTCCACCTCTTCTTCTCACCAGCATTGCTTCTTCCCTGAAACCCCAGAAAACCATTAGTCAACAAGAATCATTATCTCGCTTTTGGACAATGGAATTCATTAAGCAATCATTTGATGATTGGCCTTGTTTGTTTTCCCCCACTTACATTGCCATGATGGTGATAAGTTCCGAAAGAAGCAGAAGAACGTGTCTTGGAGAAGACACTCCGAACAATCCCTCCATTGATCCCCATAATACTACAATGATTATGAAGTCTCCCTCACTTATTGCCCCTTTGTTTTTTTTCCTAATGGCTTGAACGAATGAATGAATTAATGAATGAAGGCTGCCTGCAAGTTATATGGGAGAGAACTGTGAAGAGAGGGGGTTACTGATCCCTACTCAGATTCCTTCAATAATTACAGGCATTCCCCCCCGCAAAACCCAAAAAAAGCACTTTAGAGGCTGGCACTGACTGACATTCCCCTTCTCTTCTCTCCCCTTTTGCCAAAGTTATCTGCTTTGAGATCAAGGAAGCAGGGTGAGTTGATGGTAGTTTAATAATCAAAGCTTAGGCTGTAAAAATCAAGCCTTTTTCCTTAGAATAGTTGAGGTTGTGGATGGAATCCGGAGATTAGATTAGGTAAGATGGCTTGGAAGTCACCCTTTTAGAGAGCACATGGGTTGCTCTTGAAATGGGGCAATCAAAGAAAACACCAGCAAGTGTTGTTTCCTTGCAAGTTGGGCTAATGTCTGTTCTCTGACTTTTTTTTTCCAAGTGGCCCTCTCCCTTTCCTTAACTTGCCTTTTTCTCTTTTTAATTATCTCACAATGTGGGGGAACATGGCCTATGACTTTTTGAAAAAGACACCAATTTTAAGCTCTTTTTTTAACCCTGTCGAGGTGGTGAAACCATGGAGAAGGTTAGGTTAGTACGTCTGGTAAATAAGGCTGTTACAGGATGGTTCATACCGGGTGAAAATTATGGTTTTCCTTTTGCAGGGATGAGGGTTTTGATAATGGCACACATTTGTATTACTTTTGACATAGTTATTATGGGTCAGCCATTGAGCACATCATTTTTATGCCATGGCGGGTTTAGCAGAGGGACAAACTTCCAGAAACCAACAGACGGTTGCCATTTAGTTTCAACCACAAAGTGGTATGTACTATTTATGTCGCAGCCATGAAAATGACATGGAAAACTAGAATTAATCAAACTTCGATTCAATTTTCGGTTTCTTTCTTATGCGGGATGGCCAACGTTATCTAACAAATGCAAGTGTTGGAACCTATGGAATTTTTCTTTTAATGACAGAAGAACTTTTATTCATAGTCGTCATTTTTGTGACTGTCCCAAGTAGGATAAATTTTGGCCTGCCAACCTTGGGGAGGGGGGTTAAGCACGAAGGCGATGACCACCCTTACATCTCTCGGTGAGGGCTGCTAATGAAGGAGTCAATATATGCCCTACCCGGTGATTGAACCTTGGACACTGTTCCACCCACATAGACGATGCTACATACCTCGTTCGCATACCCATCAAACTTGAGTTAACCCTCAAAATTAATATCTTTTTTTTTAATTAGGAGAACATATATTGGGAATTTATTTGCATGGTAAATTTAGAAAATTAGCCATTTGATAAGAACACCAATAAGAGAATCAATGCCACATTTGCCGCATTTTCCACATCCGCTTTATGAAACATTTTTGCCTTGCCCGAGGAACTTCTTTTAAAGTGGGATCAGGTTACCGATTAATCAGGAACTGCAATAGGAATCAATACCTGCATCTTGAAGTCGGACATATTCCACCAGTTGTTGTGTCAGTTTTCCCGATTCATTGAAGAAGATCATTACTAGTAGGTTGCAAAATCTATGAAGCTACTTTTGCCTAGCTCCGAGCCCCGCTCGTGACAAGCTAGTTTGGTATGCTCACTAGCAGAAAAAGGCAAGGGAAAGAAGTATTCATTTTGTGCCTTAAGTTTTGAGATCGAGAATGCTGAGTCTATATATGATATTATTAAATAGCTAAAAAGGATAAATTTGGAACAAAAACACACGACTTTATGACTCGTACCGCGCCCTACCTATGAATGCAGATAGAAGGCGTGAGCCTATGGATCAAGAAGAGGGGTCGGGAGCTGGACGTGGACGTGGATGTGGAACTGGGGGAGGAGGAAACCAAAGGGTTTATTGTTATAAACTAAAATATACGAACAACAATAAGAGAGAGTGGAGAGGAAAAGACACAAGAGAAGATGAGAGAAGTGTGATTCTTATTCATCATACTCTTTTGTAAAATTGGGTGCTCTATTTATAGGCACATATATAATCCTTAGATATTTCTCTATTAATGTACATGAATGTGAGGTAATGAGCTATGAATTTACCATCCAATATAGAATCAAATGTGGCATCCAATATAGAATCCATAATACTCCCTCTTGGATGTCTCATTAAAACCTTACTAGAAAAAAATATCATGGGACAAAATCCTAGTGAAGGAAAAATAGTGCATAATCATATCATTATGCGCTATTTGAGACTGCCTCATTAAAAAATCTTACCAGGAAAACCTATGAAAAATTATGGTTAAGAAACAAGAATGCAGTGCGTATATACTCCCCCTCAAGGGAACATCAATTCAGATTTTTTACTCGTCAAAGTGTAGTTTTGTAAACAAAATTTTCAAATATTGTCATGGTAAGTGTATTAGTGAACAAATCTTCTAGATTGTCACTTTATGCATGATCCATTAGGGCAATTTTTCATACATGATCTTCATGATCATTTCCTCTGAATATAGTCCACAATCACAAGTCATTTAAATGTGTTGAATCACAAATCTTAACCAAACAATTCATAATATGCCTCATGAATTTATAACCATTGTCATGATAGATAGGATCAGTAGCTATTGTGTAGGGGTGGCAGTTCGGTTATTTCGGTTATAACCGGTAACCGATTGGCCGGTTATCGGTTAACCGAAATAATCACTCCCCCTATCGAAAACCACCCGAAATAGGCTTCGATGTCTCGGTTATTCGGTTATCGGTTAACCAAACCACTTTTAAGACCAAAAACCATTTCGTCCAGCCTCCGATAACCGACCGAAGTTCGGTTAGCGGTTAGTGGATAACTGGTCGGTTATCAGTTTAACCGACCGGTTAACCGATAACCGGTAACCGAACGACCACCCCTACTATTGTGATATGTTTGGAATCTCCATGAGATAGTTGTACGACCATAAGTAAGCAAATAACTCATCTCTTATCCTCATTATTACCTAAAGGTAATGAAGTATAAGCTCAACTCTATACAGAGAGAGAAATTATATCTTGTTAATATATTAACACCGAATGATATGTTGGATGGTGTATGCCATGCAAGATACATTTGTGTTCTAAAGGAATCAATATACAATACTTTAGGATCCAATAGTTCACTTCTATCTCAAGGCCTAAATTGATCTTTGTTCACTTCTAGTGATCATACGATTATTAGGCTGCTGACATATGATGTTTTCCTTTCAAAATTGCTCTCTCACTTTTTGACATTACCTTCCCGATCCAAAAAAAAAAAACCTTCTTAAATTCTTCTTGTTCAATTTTTTTTTCTGTAAGCAATGCATTACTTATGAAGCTATTATGAAGTTCCAATAATATGTATATCAAAATAATATGAGATCGGTATGAAATGATGTCTTGACTCTTTTCTTCTAAATAAATATAAAACTCAACTAACACAATTATATGCAAGCAATTACTTCATACAACAAAGTCACAAGCAAACACAATGTCATATGCACAACATCATTAAGCAGCTCGTGGAAAACAATGGCGAGGGAAGCACCTGGCGGCGGTGGCTCTAACCATGAGTGTGTATATGGCTAGGGTTTGGGGAGACTTCATGTTGGGGCCTGCTTTGGGTCGGTTGTTTTTGGTCCTTGTGCCTTTTTGGTTTTGTTTCTTTCTTGCACTTTGTCGTATATGTGTATGGATCTCTCCATTTGGCTTGCCCATTTACCCACTTATGAACAACTTTTCAAAAAAAAAAAAAAAATTAAAATTAAAATAATAATAATAATAATAATAATCAAACTACAACCATTAATCAAAACTCATACATAGAACTAAAATCACAATATCATACACATAAACCTATATGACATTGCACAATCGCCCATGCCAAATCCATATGCAAGTGTTGTAAAGCTTATAATGCACTTTATTTGGATTAATCACCAAAGACTCATTCAACCACTTCATTTCATCCATTTGGTCTCAAACCGTACCAAGGATTGCTTCTATTGAACTATAAATGTTCTTGAGAACATCATATTTTAGCTTACAACAAACTATTCCTTTAGGGAGTTCCGTATAAATATTATTATTAATGATCCATACAAATATGATATCACAATATCTATTATATGCAAATTTGATCCTTTTTGAACTGCCAAATTATTTAAATTTCTCAACATAGTGCATCCACCACAAAGGACTTTGTCTCCTCATAATTAATGTAAGGTTTTTACTAGAAATGCCTTACAAGAAATTGTGTTATGTCTTTGAAAATTTCACACTTTTTCCTACTTGTTTGCACAAATTTTTTTTTATCTAGTTAGTTTTACATCTTCAAGTATAAGGACTTCTGGTCCTAACATTTTACCCAATAAGTCTAATGCTTTCATTTATATTGGCCAATAAATTATTATTTTGCATGCATTAATAGACTTTTACTTTTGATCCTCTTTGTATTATCACATTCAACTCTACAACATAATCAAAACTCTCGTCTCCAATGAATCCACGTCGATTCCAACTTTATCCATATAGGCCAATTAACTGAGATATCTTCTTTGTCAAAACTTTCAGGCACCTACTATTCTTCTGGAACTATGATCTCAATTATTATATATGTCGTGACTCTTCTATAGCTATTGTATCCTCAAGTTGACCATCTTAATTTATAGCTCCTTTTCTTTCTCAAGGATTTTTATCCTTGTAACTGATTGGTCTACCACGCTTCATACGTTGAGACTCATTTTTAATATCAGATTCTCCTATATGGACACCAATTAGTATTGAAGCATCACAATTGGGCATGTGACATAGTCACTCCCGATATAAGTCAAGGCTCTAACTCCTGAACTTAAACAATCAGAAAGGCAACAAAGATCGATTAGAAGCACAACGATAACAAAGCGGATAATAACCCAAACCAAATCCACGAGTCGGGAAGAGGGCCAAGTATATGAATGACTATTCAGCTGGCGTGATGAGCTAGAAGAAAACGTCGGTTTTCTCTTGCTGAATCAATTCCGCGGTCACGAAAGAAGAATAAGAGAAGTTGGTGTTCGAACAATCAATTCTAGGGTTTGATTTTCTGAATAAAATTGTTGATTACTTTCTAAAAGACTTAGTTCAGCCCCTTATATAGGCTACATAGGTTTTGGGTAAAAAATAACAAGGAAACCCGAGTTTTGGAGTCAAAGTCACATAATTCGCAAAGGAACCAGAAAACAGGTCGTCAGCAGCC